AACTTTATGAACAAGCCTGAAGAAGCCAATCAAGCATTTTTTTTTTGCTTTTTGAGTCACACCTGATGATGCACAGGGGTTATTCCTGGCTCTGCACTCAGGAATTACTCCTGGTGGTGCTTCTGGGATGCTGGGAATTGAACCTGGGTTGGCTGCATGCAAGGCAAATGCCTTCCCCGTTGTACTATCGCTCCAGCCCCCAAACATTTTTTATATTGCAGTAATAATGGGCATTTCCACTAGAAATATTTGGGAGTAGAAGTTAAACATCTCTATAGCACTGTAGCACTGTCTTTCCATTGTACATCAATTTGCTCGAGGGGGCCTAGTAATATCTCCAATGTGAGACTTGTTACTGTGTTTGGCAGATCGAATACATCATGGGTACCTTGCCAGGTGTTGCTGTGTGGGCGGGATACTCTCAGTAGCTTGCCAGGCTCTCCGAGAGGGGTGGAGGAATAGAACCCAGGTCGGCCAGGTTGATCAGGTGCAAGGCAAATGCCCTACCTGCTGTACTATGGCTCCAGCCCTAAAAAAGCCTGGCACGTATTCGATATGCCCAAAACAGTAAAAACAAGTCTCACAATGGAGATGTTACTGGTGCCTGCTCAAGCAAATATCTCTAATATATATATATATATATGTGTGTGTGTGTGTATTTTATATATGTGTGTGTATTTTATATATGTGTGTAATATATATATATATATATATATATATATATATATATATAAAACTTTGGACAAACTTGCAGGCTATCGAATGTAGCCTGCCCACAGGGCAGAGTCTGGCAAACTCCCCGTGGTGTACCAAATATGCCAAATACCAGTAACAATGATGGGTCTCATTCTCCTAAATAGCCTTGAATATAATCTCCTAAATAGCCTTGAATATAATCTCCTAAATAGCCTTGAATATAATCTCAGGGCTAGGATGAAAGAGACGTTACTGGGGCCTGCTCGAGGCAATCGACGAATAACAGGATGATGAAATGAAAAAAATAAAATATATATATATATATATATATATATATATATATATATATATATACAAATCCCACCCAGGTGGTGCTCAGGGCTTACTCTGACTCTACAATCAGGGATCACTCCTGGTATTCTCAGGAACCATATGGGATGCAATAGTAGAGTGATAAATTTTAATGGTTTAACACATTAAATTAGGTAACAGAATGGATCTTCAAAGAAGCTGTTGTCCAAATGCTCAAATGCTTCTATCTCCCTTGATAGCCAATGTGATTTAAGTCAGATTTGTATTCTAGAGTAAAAAATTAACCTAGTGCACTAGTTAAAGTTTTATAGAACAACTCCGTGTTCGGTGGAATTTAACTCATATCCTATAGACCAAGCCCCAATGTGTCTCACAGAATCATTAACCCACAGACCATTTTTGATTCACATAGAAGTGGCTCAACATTATATTGAAGAATGCTTTCTATTTCATTCCTGGTACTTAAAACAACTTAAGGTGCTATGGTTACAATATTGTTAATGACAGAGTTTTGTGCATACAACATGCCAATTCGACACCAGAATGACTCCCAGCCTACCCCCTTTATACCCTCATCATGTCAGTTCTGTAGTCTTGTGTCCCTCACAAGACTTTGAAGCTAAAGAAATCTGATATTTATAAATATAAAATATGAATATTTCCTAAAGGTACATATTAGCTTTTCACACTTCACATTCTGTCACTGTCACTGTCCTCCGTTGTTCATCGATTTGCTCGAGCAGGCCCAGTAACGTCTCCGTTGGAGACTTTTGTTGTTACTGTGTTTGGCATATCCAATACATCACGGGTGGCTTGCCAGGCTCTGCCGTGCGGGCGAGATACTCTCGGTAGCTTGCTGGGCTCTCTGAGAGGGGCGGAGGAATGGAACTCGGGTCGGCCATGTTGGCTGTGTGCAAGGTAAACACCCTACCCGCTGTGCTATCGCTCCAGCCCACACTTCACATTAATTAATTAATATTTTATTTTTTCAGCTTTTTGGATCACACTCAGCAATGCACAGGGGTTACTCCTGGCTCATGCACTCAGGAATTACTCCTGGCGGTGCTTGAGGGGGCCATTTGGGATGCTGGGAATCGAACCCAGGTTGCAAGACAAATGCCCTACCCACTGTGCTATCGTTCCAGTCCCTATTTAACTCTTAAAAATCAATTATTTTTAAAGATTTTTTGTGGACCAAAACCAAAATTTTTAAAAGAAAATGATAATAATAAATTTAAAATATGGGTCCCTTGCCCTCAGTGCCCCACATTGGTTTAGAAGGAATAGCAACTGTTTTATCAATTCCTAGCAGATGTTTTATCAACTCATCTCTCTGACACAGCCGTCAGCACTGTTCTGATTGCTACTGAGAATGCTATTTAAGTATACAATACTATCTAGGTATAAGACACTATCCAAGTTCTGGCTCCCATTGTAAGGCCCATAGAAACGATTTCCCCATGATTACCACAGGATTCAGCAACTGAATCCTTGCTGCATTCTTATGACATACTGCTATTCATGAACTAGCTTCTCATTGCAAAGGGAAGAATATGTTGTTATTATATTTGTAAATTTCCCCCCCTCCATTTTTATATTGTAGTATATTATCTTTATTATATTGTAGGGGCTTTCGTTAAATATTTATTTTCGTGAAATCCAAGGTTAGACCAAACTGAAGTTGGTAGGAGCCAAACAGATAGTAAAGCAGATAAGGCATTTGCCTTTTAGGCAGTTGACCTGTGTGTGGTCCCCAGCACCACCTCCCAGAGCCCATCCAGGACTGCCTTCTGAGGACAGAGCCAGCTGCAATTTCTGAGCATCAACAGATTTGTCCCAAAAGTCAGTCCGAGGATGCAGTACCAATTGGGGCCTTAGAAGCTGTGGGTTACTTGGAGCTATATCTGGCAGGACTGGGGCACTCCCAGCATGCCCTAGACTCTGGGCCATTGTTGATTATTTTTTAAGGCAATGTGTTAGTTACTCAGGACCTTCTTTTGCAAACCACAGCACCCAAAAGGAGAGAGAGAACAAAAGGGAATGCCCTTCCACAGAGGCAGGGGGTGCACGGAGGGGATTGGGGGTGGGAGGGATACTGGGATCATTGGTGGTGGAGAATGGGCACTAGTGGAGGGATGGGTACTTGATCATTGTATAACTGAAACCCAAGCACAAATATTTGTAAGTCTACAACTGTACCTCATGGTGTCTCACTAATAAAAATTTAAAATATATATAAAGTCCAATCACTTTCTATAAGATTTTCTTTTCTTTACTGTTTAATTTTTAAAAGAACTGAAAAGTATGCTTGATTAACAGTAGTCATAGCTGTTTATTAACTGTTGAAATAGAAATAAAGAATTAAATAATGAGAAATATGGCTGAGGATTTTTTTTCTGGAAAAGTAACATCGCATGCAAACACATGCACACAAAACAAACTATTCTTATGAGGATATGAAGGCTACATGTTACAGATGGTTTGCTATTGATACATTGTTGCACCTATGATGACTTCAGCCAATTTGAAAGATAATCACGATTGATAATGTAACCCAAAATTAGTTTAGCACTGCAACAACATAAACTGTTTTAAGTTCTCAATCTAAGCCTGCATTTTTACTATGTTATCAGATTAGATTATCCACTTAAGTATTGCAAACAATCTGAAATATCATTAGTTCATAGCCATGACTTCTGAAGAATTACATTATATTTAGTGGTAATTAAAGAAACTTTTAGGTAGCGAACAATGGCTGGAAACAATGGCTACCTCTCAGTAACCACACTTTGATTATGATGATTGAGGACAGTAAACATATATAGTAAGCATAGAAAAATGAGTTTCAAAAATTGTTGCATCTTGAATATATCCCAAAGATGCAAAAAAAAAGTACAATAGAAATGACATATGCACTTGTATGTTTATTGCCGCACTATTTACAATAGCCAGAATCTGGAAAAAAAACAAGTGCCCGAGAACAGATGACTGGTTAAAGAAACTTTGGCATCTTGAGTTAATCTTTAAGCCTGGTTTTGTTACAATTAAAAAAGAATGAAATTTTCACCCCCTAAATTTCCTGATAATTTTTACATATAATAGGTGCTTAGAAGGAAAAAAAATAGAATGTGTAAATAGTGAATGGCAACACTATAGTGAATTTCTCTTTGGATCGAATGTAGTAACATCTAATAAAATTTCAAAATTTCAAAAAAAAAAGAAACCCCCCCTCATCTCAATTGAAATTTTAAATACTATCAAAGTTTCATCAAAGTAAAATAATATGAATGCATAATGCTGTGACATCTTAAAGGGCCTAATAATCTTTCAATCTCCAACACTCTGCAATGACTAGCCCCGCTGGCAACACTCTGTTCAGCACAACTTCGGATAGGAGGCATTGCTCCCTATTCAAGAGTTATTAGTCTACCCAGTGGTATATGCCACAGTCCACACAGCCTTTCAGGAATTGCTCATCTGTGGGAGCTGACCCCTCATCCTCCACTTGCTCAGCTTCACACACCAGATGGAAAGGGTCAAACTTTACATTAGATTAGTACAGACACTACACTGCTTAAAACTTCATAGCCACAGGAACCAATCATTCTCCAATCAAACCCCAAAATAGAGCTTGCAGTAGTCCCACCAGGGTTGTGTTTATGAGTTGCTGCACTCCAGCCAGCCCAAAGTCACAGTTTCCAGTAAAGTATTCATAATTTTTTCTTTCGAAGTGAAATTTACCAACATGCCTTTTAACCATAAGCAAAGTTGCTTAGCAACATAGTTACCATACACTACCTTATCTGGTTACCAAGGAAACGTAACTTGAAAGTTAGGAAAAAGTCAAAATCTCATGTAGAAAGCAAAGGGGTTGTGTTAATCTATGACCCATTTCTGTGCTTATCCACGAAACTGTGAAATCAAGGTCAATTTATGGTCCTGATGGTGAATATGGCATAATTCCTCCCTGTGTTCTTTCTCCTGTTATCTAGAGCTGATGTACACAGTTGAACTTGCTGGAGGGCTTGGTGCTATCCTTTTGCTGCTCATCTGTCTGGTGACCATCTACAAGTGTTATAAGATAGAAATCATGCTCTTCTATAGGAATCATTTTGGGGCCGAGGAGTTGGACGGAGGTAAGATTAATGCCCTCTTCATATGTTCTTTCTAAACTTTTTAATTTGGTTTGTGCCTTTGGGGTTTCACAGACATTTTTGGAGGGAAAAGAAAAGTCCCTTACATAATCTTTGGCAGCATATATTATAATCTTCAAAATTCAGTTTGTAAATTCATCTTTTGGATGGAATTATATGTGTGATGCTTTGATGCTGTGAGTTCAAGTGTGCAACATGTTCAGTGGCTGAGAACCGCTTCTCCAGGCCTCTCTGCGAAAGGAACAAAGAGATGGTAAAAATGGCCCGTTTAATGCAGAGCTGCTAGCATACTTATAGAACATCTCAGAGGGTCCGAGGTATAAGACTGCATGTAGGTGTGATTGATCATTTTCATACGTAAAGCATTTTGACAGAAGCAATTCTCTTGGGGGTTTAGGATTAACTCAAGGAGACGTTCCGTTTCCCAGGGGAATTTATATTGCTTTTCTCTTTCCCTTGCTACTTAATACACACAAGTGTTTGAATAAACACAATAAGAGATTTAGACGCCAAAACTTAGTTCTCTAGGCTCCAAGAGCAAGCAAGGCTTTTACCGTAAATCCCAGACTAAGTCCTCAGCCCAGTTCAGCTTGTCCTTAAGTCATAACACGTTGCATCAAGACCAGGCTTTCTAGACTGTCCTATTTCAATGCTGGGGTAGCATTTCTGCTTGCCTAGATCCCTCTAAGTCCCACAGCGGGACTACCTTTTTGGGGATGTTGGAAACTATAGCAACCAATGCCTGAGTCATGTAATTATGACAGACGCCCAGAACAGATATATTTCAGAGTCAATCAACTCCCAAATGTTAGGAGTATAACATTAACAGTCTTTCTCTATTTAAGCAAAGAACATTGCTCTTTAGTAAAATATAAAAATGCTATAGGGGAAATAGAAAAGCAAGTAATTCACTCAAATGCAATGCCCAGAGTCACTGGAAGGTTTGACTACTAAGTGAACAACCCTGACTTGGAGAATTATAAGAATGAGAGGTAAAGCACAAAAGAAGGGTTAAAGATAAACTCAGGGGATTGGGGTGCTCATAAGAACACTGTTAGTTTCTCTGAGGGGGGAGGGAAGGGGACAATTAACTGATAAAGCCTAACGCACTTTACTCAACAGGAGCCAACAGGATTTTTCTTTTGAAAATTATACAGCAACACCTATTCTTTTTAGAATCTTATTTCCAACCAGTATCTATGAATTGTAAACACTGATTTTAGCACAGCAGTAGGGCGTTTGCCTTGCACGCAGCCAACATGGCCGACCCGAGTTCGATTCCTCCGCCCCTCTCGGAGAGCCCGGCAAGCTACCGAGAGTATCTCGCCCGCACGGCAGAGCCTGGCAAGCCACCCGTGATGTATTCGATATGCCAAACACAGTAACAACAAAATCTCCAATGGAGACGTACTGGGTCCGCTCGAGCAAATCGATGAACAACGGGAGGACAGTGACAGTGACAGTGACAGATTTTAGTATTATTAGAATGTTCATTTTCTCTCATGCTTCCATCAGTACAGATAGCCCAGCTTTATTTTTCCATAGGTAAGGAATGTCTCTTTTTAATTGTTTCCTGGCCTGATAGACTGAATCTCTATTTGGTCACTGTTTTACACTAATTGTTTATAATAAACTTCTCTGAATATTTTAGAATTCATCCTGCACTCTTTCCAATCCTGGTTATTTAGCAATATTAAGACAGGATAAGTTGTATTCCAAATGTTGATCAAAAGGAAGGTCACATGCACATTGTTTTCATAATAATATGTCAAATAATTTTATTCAGATTGGTTAAGTGAATGTTGTTTACACAGAAATAATAACTACCATTTGCTTCTGGTTAGTCATGAATATATATACAACCTAAGAGAGAACTTTGGATCATTAAAATTGGGGTCTCTGTAGCACCCAGTAGAGGACTTATGGTCTTTTCTTGTAGGCATTTGAAAGTGATATATTTGCAACAATGGAAGTATATATGAAGTAACAATGAATAGTTTAAATGATAAAGGGTTCTTTATAATACTTATAAACCTTTTTCACTGAATGTCGAAATTGTGCTAAATGGTACAGTACAAAGAAAAAAGAAGCAAATGTCCACATTACTATATTTTCTCTGGAATTAGTCTAGAGGTAGAAATGTAAATTGTGAACTGGAGCAATTCATTTAGCATGCCTAACACCTCTTGCTTCTTAACTTTCTCTCCTTCCCATTAGGGTGAATTTTATCAGTAGCAAGACTTTGTTCATGTTTCCGTGATAAATCTCTCATTCTTTATATTCCTTCTTTTCATACAAATTAGCAATAGTTTACTATTGCTTAAAAATGGTGAGTTCAGAGATACTGATGTAATGAATATCAGGCAAAGTGACACACATTATTTTTTTTCTTTTTGGGTCATATCCGGTGATGCTCAAGGGTTACTCCTAGCAGTGCTCGGGGGACCATATGGGATGCCGGGGATCAAACCGGAGCTGGCTGCGTGCAAGCCAAAAACGCCCTACCCACTGTGCTATCGCTCTGGTCCCATGACCCGCATCCTTAAAGCCTTTCTTAAAAAGTATCAAAAATTTCTGAGGTCAATATTATATCATACATTTACTGATAAGGACAGTCCATTGGATAAATAAATTACTGAAAACAATAATGCAAATGCTACTATAATTCACTGTCACTGTCACTGCCCTCCCGTTGTTCATCGATTTGCTCGAGCGGGCCCAGTAATGTCTCCATTGGAGACTTTTGTTGTTACTGTGTGTGGCATATCGAATACGCTACTATAATTATTCTAATAAAATGCAAACTTACCATCCTGATAAAGGCAGCTTACAATCTCTAGAGCAGACTAATACTAACACAGTAGTCCACCATCTGTGCTGTAATAATTACAAGAAAATAAAGTTATCATAACAACACCAGACTCCTTTTCCACTCCCAGAATCTGAGTAATATTTTACTTTTTTATTTTAAAGCACATGTAAATTTAATCTCTTTACACTCTCCTTCCATATCTCTCTTGCTCATACACATTTCATATTTTCTCTATAACGTAAAATCATCTCCTCCATTAACCCAAGGTACACTTATTTTCTATTCAATATTTACTACAAACTTCAGTTTAGACATCATTATTAGCGGTTTACATTTTTTAGTGCTATGTACTTAACTAGTGAAGGCTTACTAATTGTACAGTAGTGTGAATTCAAGATGGACTCTCATTTATTCATTTACATCAAAAGAAGGCTTGAATACAAGGTCATGAATAAAATGATTACTTTCAAAAAGTTCAAAGATGTCTAGAGTTTATTTTTTGTTTTTTTCGGGGCCATACCCAGCGATGCTCAGGATTAAATCCTAGCTGTGTGCTCAGGAATTACTCCTGGCAGTACTGAGGGGACTTGAGAGCACCCAAGGAGTAATCCCTGAGAGCAGAGCCAGAAGTAACCCCTGAGCACCACTGAGTGAGTTCCCCCAAAAAATAAAATAAATATTAACAAAATCATAAAGTTAACCTGTTGGCAGGCAAGCCCAGTATGTTTTTCTGCTAATATACTGGATTCAAACAGAAAATTACCTACTAAGATGAAATAAACATTAACTCCTTGAGCCCTCCTCCATTCTCATTTAGGTAAACCATTGGCTGAATAATGGCCTCTGTAACTAGTTACTTTCACAAATGCGACTTATAAACATTTGAGATTAGTTTAATGAGTGGCCAATCTCCAATAACATCTGACAATTATTCAATAGATATTTGAAGATTAAAAATTTTCTAAGACTCTAATGTCAATATCTTGCCACTTATATTGTCAGTAAATCTTTCTTAGCCCAAGTCCAATAGATACCACACTTTTCCTCCAAAGAAAATCTTCAGTATATATTTTCTTAAATTCCATGAATCCTTCACCTTCTCAATACTTTAGAGCATTGAATACTATCCTTCCATATGTCAAAGATAAAAATTATTTTTATTCTCCAAATCACATTTCCATTCCTAGCATATAGTAAAATATATTTTTCTCTCATTGATATTTCTTAATATTTTATTTCATATATTAATTTTTTGTTTGTTTGGGAGCCACACAAAGCAGTGCTCAAGGCTTAGTAGTTGAACAGAAGTAGTGAAAGTGTGACCCCTTGTCTTGTTAGTAAATTTAGAAGATTCTTATTCATAAACTGAGTAGATATTATCTGTGGGCCTGTAATATATAGTCTCTATTATGTTGAGGTATGTTTCTTTTAAACTAATTTCACTGTATCACTGTCATCCCGTTGTTCATCGATTTACTCGGGCAGGCGCCAGTAATGTCTCCGTTCTTCCCAGCCCTGAGATTTTTAGCAGCCTCTCCTTACTCGTCTTTCCCAATGCTGCCAAACTGAAGGCTTTTTAGGGGTCAGGGAAATGAGACCCGTTATTGTTACTGTTTTTGGCATATCGAATACGCCATGGTTAGGTTACCAGGCTCTGGCTTTCAACTAATTTGTTGAGACAAATTAAAAAAAATAAAATGGGACTTTTGGTCAAATTCTCTTGGTAAATTTATTGATAAGGCCATGCCGTTTTTTTCCTAATTCTGTTAATGTGGCATATAACATCTATTGAGTTGCATGTTTGCATGTGTTGAACCATTTGTGTATAAACAACTTGACTGTGTACTGTTATTACCTTAATATGCTTTTAAATTTAACTAATGAGTACTTTTTAGTATTTTATGTCTGTATTTATCAGTCATTATTGGTTTATAGTTTTCTTTCCAGGTAGTGTTCCTATTTTTGTCTTTATACCAGGTTAATGCTGTATCTGATTATTTCAATAATATTTTGAACTTTTATACTAGAGATAAAAGTAATTTTCACATGACCATACATTACTCAGATATTCTGAATTTGTCTGTATGTCTACCTCTACCACTGAGGTTCATATTGCCACGACTTCATGTTGCGATTCTATGTTCTTTAATTTCAACATGAATTTCCTCTA